GCCCAGCGCGCCCCGCTCTCGGGGGCCCCCACCCGGGCGTAGGCGCCGCGGGCCCCCAGGTCTGACAGTGGGTCCTGGGTGGCGTTAGAGCCCTAGGGGAGGTCTCAGATCGCGCAGTCTGCGTTCCCTGCGTCTGGCGAGGTCAGCGTGGCCTGCGCTGGGGCTGGCTGGCCCCGGCCTCGCCTGACGCTGCTGCCCTCCCGCAGGCATCTTGTACACGTTGCCCGCCTCAGAGCGAAGGCTGCGCAGCTCCATCCAGGACCTGTGTGTCATGTGGTGGGAGAAGGGCCTGCCCGCCAAGGAGGACATGGGGAAGACCGCCTTCGTCCTGCTGCTGAGGAGGAGCCTGGACACGAAAACGGTACGCTGCTCCCCAGAGCAGAGCTGGCGGCGGCCCGGCCGGTGCCCCTTCGTGCGTGCGTGGAAGGGCTAGGGAGGCCGGGGGCGGCGGGGGAGGGGACCCCTCCAGAGACCGAGTGGGGAGCAGAACAGGTGGATCTGCTGAAACCCGCTGCGGAGGGGCTGGTGGGGAGACAGGAGGGGTCTGCTGCCCTGTGGTCACTCCCTGGCCGGGGATGGACTCGGGCCGCAGCGGCTGGCAACAGCCTGATAGTGCTAAGACTAAGACTGACCCCTGAAACCCCAGGGAGCCCCCAACTAAAGTTTTTTGTTTTTTTTTTAAGATTTACTTGTGCATACAGAACTGGGGTACAGGCCAGAGGTGTGGGGGTGAGAGGCGTCCCCAGAGACAGCGGGAGCAGGACAGGCGATGTGGAAGTCCTCTGCGGAGGGGCAGTGGGGACAGGAGCGAGGCCTGCCGTGCCCTGCGGTCCGTTCCGGGCGGGGGTCGCACTCGCCCCGAGGCCGCGGCCGGCGTGCAGAGCTGCGCTGTGGGGAGGCCCCGAGTGCAGCGCCCTCAGGGCAGTGGGCGAGGGCCGCCTGCGCCCAGCTGCTCGGTTCTCTCCCGCGCCCCCCAGGGTGCAGACATCTGCCGGCTGTGGCGCGTCCACCAGGCCCTGTACTGCTTTGACTACGAGCTGGAGGAGAGCCGCGAGATCAGAGAGCTGCTGCTCGAGTGCTTCGTCAGTGTCAGCTACCTCAGGAAAGAGGAGGTGCGTGGGCCCTCGCTTTGCTGGTGCCCCGCTTTGCGCGCACCCTGCTGGGCGGACAGTGTGCGGCCCCGAGGCCCAGGGGCCGCGAGCTGCCCGTGCCGTCTGCCG